TCTTCTATATTCTTACTGTCTTTAGTCCCAATAATTCTGTCAGCTGTTCTACTAATTCTTACAACTTTTTTCATGTTCTGTTTATCAAGGCTATAAAACCAGACTATTGCACTAAAAGTTAGAATTGATAAAATGACTGATTCATAAAAGAGTAATCAACCAACTCTCCATTAAACCAACTAAAACCAAAGCAACCAAACCAATTATTTAACTAACCATTAACCAACTATCCATCAATTAAACCAACTAATACCTTGGTCCAAGTCCCAGGGTAAAAAAGTTTTTATGGCTTAGTATGGTCAAAAATTGTGCTTTTCGGTATACAATATTAGAGAAATTGTCAACGTTACTTGGATATAATTTCTTCAAATTTTTGATTCACAGACCTCGTCGTGGCATCAGATGGCAGGGAGGGTCCAGGCCTGTCCGATGGTGGAAATGCCTTCCCTGCCCCCCTCCCCCCACTGTTGGCCCATGGCACCATCACTGCTCCATACCACAATTATTAGAGAAATTGGCAACGTTACTTGGATATAATTTCTTCAAATTTTTGATTCACAGACCTCGTCGTGGCATCAGATGGCAGGGAGGGTCCAGGCCTGTCCGATGGTGGAAATGCCCCCCCCCCCCACTGTTGGCACATGGCACCATCACTGCTCCATACCACAATTATTAGAGAAATTGGCAAAGTTACTTGGATATAATTTCTTCAAATTTTTGATTCACAGACCTCGTCGTGGCATCAGATGGCAGGGAGGGTCCAGGCCTGTCCGATGGTGGAAATGCCCCCCCCCCCACTGTTGGCACATGGCACCATCACTGCTCCATACCACAAAATTCTGTGTTGTTAATAACTACAACAAAATTGGGTAGATAGGTCCTCAGAACTATCTGACTAAATACAAATATTTAACATGGGTGAGTCCTCTTGTGTTTTTGTCTATAAATAAAATTATCTCTATTTTCTTACCTTTCTGTAAAGTGTTTTTGTCTAACGTCCTGACCAGCTAGCCACATGCAGTCAATGATATGTATAGCTGTAATACGTCTCTGACCAGAGCCCTTAGAATAATAATGAAAGAGTCAAGTGGAGGGAAAAGAAGGTTACTATGCTACTAAAATTTAGTGTGTTATTTTGGTACTCTGCAAGCAGAGAAAAATCAGGTAATTTACAACGGTTAACTACATTCCAATAATCTCTTATTCCAAGGTGCCTGGATGGAATTAGATCAAACACTGCAGTTAAGTAAAACAGAACAGGCAGAAGCACATGACTACTACAAAAATATTCTGTTGCAGACCATTTACATAATGCACAGCAGTGGTTTGTCAAGAATGCAAATTTCATGATTTCAAGGGTCCCATGTCTCCCTGAAGTCGCGGAAGACTCCCGGGAAGCGGGACGGCCTCCCACACTCCCGCAAGCAAGCAGGAATCTCCAGAAAAATAACAAATCTCCTGCGAATTAATAATATTTACATGCCTTTTACCACTTTATTATCAATTGTCTCATGGAAGTCAGTGCTGATGGGTATCACCATGAACAGCAAAATAAAATTGAAAATGTTAAGCTCATTTAACCAGATCTCCCAGAAGGGATTTCATAGAACCTGGGACCACTGTATTTTGTTCTGTAGTCTGCTCAGTGAAAGATGAACAAAGTCACTGATTGGTCTTTTTTTTTTGTTGTGAAACACAAAAAGAAAATGATTCCATGCTCCGTCGAGCCTCCCCCGCCCCCTTCCACTGACTAAACCTAAGTGGAGATTATCAAACATTGATTTTTTAATACAATAAAAATAAATAAAGTACCTAGTAAAACAAAATTGATAAAAAAAAATGTTTTGTAATTATAATTGTAAATAATTTTAAGAATTCCTCTTATCAACATCAAATTTGACAATTATTTTTATTGAATTCTTTAGTTTCTCTTTTGGAACTTAAATGAATAATGATATTTTGCTCGTGTGATTTTTTTGGGGTTGTTTGGCTCAGCCTTGCATGTTCCCTTTATAAGGAACAAGTCCTAGGTAATAATAAGCACATGTTTTTTTGTTTCCTTTATTTGAGTTTTGATGCAATAAAGTGATAATTTATATATTGTATATATTTCCATATTTAATTAATATTTATTTGGCAATTATCAAGAACAATTTTAGCCTGGAGTGGTACCTATAAGCCTAGATACTGCACTCACTCTACCAAAAAAGACATCATGAGATTTAAACCTGGGAGTTGGGAAAACACTCTCCTAACCACTCGACCTGTTTTCACATAAAATTTGAATACCAAGACTCATCAACTTTTGGTTCTTTAAAACACATTCGACCGCGCCATAATACCTACCTCTCCTTTAAGTTCCTGCACCACCTCTGCTTCGAATAATGTATCCCCCGGTAATTTCAGGTTGCAATTCTCAAACTTCGTCCATTTATTATTGAATTTGCCATCACATTTAAAGACGTGCGACCGCTGAGATAAAATAAAACAGAGAAATGAATCAGCTACTGTATATCAAGCTTGCCAACACAAAGACGTAACATGCCTAAATATGGTATGATGACATCACATCATGGCCATAAGTTTTTCTCTAGAGATGTTTCTTTGGATCCTCCCTGTAAAGTTTTATGGTAAAAGTAATGCAACTCATTTTGGCCCTAGTTGATTCACTTTGTTTGGGTTTCTGAAGACCCACATCAGCTGCAGTGGTCCAATTTATTTGGTAAAAACTGTTGGCATTAAAGAGTGCCTTTGTCACCAGAGATAAATATCATTACCACATATATGGCGTGGTTCTGTGAAGAAGTAGCCACAGGACTAGGAAGATTACTTGCCATTTCAGTTTTTTTATATTTTGTTTTCTTTTATTCTAGCACTGAGTGCCTCAAGTTTCTCTGTTCCAGGATTACTTTTGGGTAGAATTCTAATATATATGAGGCTTGCCATCGCATAACCATCATCAGTGAACAAAAAAAAAAAATGAAAGCGATTTTTTAATATATTTTTATTCTCCTCATTATAAGCTTTAAAATGATGGGATATTTACTGGGAACAACTTACTATTGTCAAAGTTAGGAGCAAAAGTATTACAGCTTCTCTGTACAAAAGCATACAATACTGCCCCGTTCTTCTCAGTTCAACATATAGTGATAGTACGCTGGTTTTTGGATGACAGGCCTCATATTCCCTTTATGCGCTATAAAAATTTCAATGAAGGCTACATACACACGCATACATCGAAAGTACTAAGCATGTAAGAGCCACACTTTCGCTAAAATTCATACTTACTCCCACTCCCATAATATACACCCTGTCGCCTCCGGACACCAAACAACGATAATCAAACACACTTTGAATTGTAGAGAGGTTGGAATGATCAAGCGGAGGCACATGCTCATGTAAGTCATACTGGGTGAGAGAAGAACAGATAAATAAAAATATCAAATTGTCAAGACATATGTTTAAACAATTACGGTGTATATGATTATATATATCCCAATTTTTATATGATGTTTTTACATAACTGTTAAATTAAAATGCGTATGGCAACGCTCTCTATAGTAAAGCATCTAAAGCTTGCTTTCTATAGAATCGCTCACCCTATGTAAACCAGGCTTAATTTGTTTACACAGACATTTAACAAAGACAAGTGCAATTGAAATGACTGATGGCTTCGTTTATAGGGTCCAGTGGCTGAGCAATAAGGCAGTGGTGCTGCTAACTTCAGCATTATAATCAGTGATGGTTCGAGACCTTCCACAACTTCAATAATGACTTAAAAACTGATGTCCAGCGTACACATCTGGCTCGTGAAGGGCGATACCTTGATACACTGGTTATTTCAGCTAATGTCATTACAGAAGGATGCAAACATGATAAGTGCCTCTCAATGGCTGCTACAGTAGTTACAGATTATGGCTGTATAAAATTTGGCGTAATGACAATACAAGTTACAGGTTTTTCTTTTACCTTTACCTTTCCAATATGAAAATACTTTCGACAATATGAATACTTTACTCTAATAAATACAGTATATAAAAAGGTTTTCTTTACACTGTGAAAGAGGATTGTATTCTTAGGTGGTTCAAAATAAACGATTTATACTTACAATACTAGAACTATCTTTGTTTAAACTCTCAAACTTTGTCATAGGATCAGGAATCTTGGGACACGACCTTGTCCTGTCTGGTACCTAAAAACAAGAGAGTTCTTATTCAATAAAGTATATATCACAATTATATCAATGGCCGTATTTGACTGGTCATTCTTCGTTAAAAAACACTGACCTGCGAAGTGGTAAAATCCTACTTAACGAACACAACCAGTTGAATAAAAAACTTGTAAATACTCGACAAAACAAAATGGCTTCATAGTTACGAATATACGCTGCATAATCACGATTGTTTCGATTTGTGGCAGTATGGGTTTTCCGTAAAAAAATGTTTCCCATCCAGTTTTTGAATCCTGTTAGCCTACAATTATTTTTTGACTTCATGTGAGTAATTATTATAATTTCTATTTTCTGAAACTTAATCTAAGTTATATTAATGCAAATGTTGTTGCTAAACTGACCAATTGGCAATGTTTGTTCTGGTCACGTGGATAACTTAATGCTGATTAACTCACTCTGGTTACATTAATTTTCGTTGTCAACGAAGTCTATTTTAAGAACCAGTCGAATGAAAATAATACTCGACAAAAAATTGTCAACGAAGAACCAATCAAATAAGCACATTTACTCAATCTGTCCAACTGGAATGTCAAATTACCGTAGATCCATAAGTAAGTGGCGCAGGGCTTATATTTTTTTTGGCTTAAGTGCTGCGCTTATTCAAGAGCGGCACATATTAAAATAATATTTGTTATTAGTAATTGTTCCCATGTTACCTATCTCGCATATTCTTGTAGTTTGGTAGGTCTATCATAGGACCTACATCATCATAAACATTTATAAAGATATGCTTGTGTTTTCATTGTATTATTTATTCATTTGAAAACTGTATTGTATTTAAAACCCTGTTTCTTTAAGTGTTTCATTACACACAGTGTAATATGTATCCTCGATAAAGCTCCGCATCGCTAATATTCAAAATAGAATTTCTAAGCGGCACTTAGCGAAAAAAATCATATTTGGTGCGGCACTTATTCGACAATGGCACTTATTCCTGAGCGGTGCTTATTCAAGGATTTACGATATACCATAGACAACACATCACTACTACATATTCAAAAATTATTAAAATCTCCCTTTTTAAAAGAATCATTCATTTTCCCTTACCAGGATTTTACTAATGTAATTTGCATTCCCCTTACAGCCTTACCAATCTGTGTACCTACCCCCCAGAGCTTGAGGCATTCGACTCTTGTCTCAGCTTGCTTGCCCTCTGTGAGGTTTGTGTTCCGAACGTAGGCTTGGATTTTGGCAAGTGCCTGAGCCTGGCTATTAGCCTGACTGAAAATAACAACAAAACAAAAAATGAATTTCCACTTGGTTATTAACATTTTTATAAATGTTGTTCATGGTATCCGATATGTTAATGGTTGGGAATTGGTAGCAATGACAGGAGGCATCTAACGCAAGTTAGAGGTAAAGGTAGAGGAATAATAACCCCTAACCCATTGTCATTGTGCTAAATTGTGTATGAGCCTGGTCTGTGACTACCTAGCTGCCATACAGGATTCTACTAGCTACATGTTCACATCATTCCACAATGACAGGGGATGACCCCCCTCCCCATCCCCCTACTATTCCAAAAAGATGCAATTGGTTCTTTAAAGTACACAAGAGCCAGATGTAGGCGCCCCTGCCTTACTGCTCAGCCCCTTAAGTCAACCAAGTACACTGGAGCCTCCAGTCCAACACCATTGGCCCAGGGCTGCTCTCAGCTATCATTTACGATGACTGGGGGGGGGGGGTTGATGGTGGATGTGCAAAGGTGAAGAGGGGGACTTGATGATTATGTGAGGGGAAGCCAACTCACAAAATATGGTGATGTGAGGTGTTAGCACATAGAGTTTGTACTAGTAAACGATACATCTAGCACTACTACAATAATAATGATGATCTGAAAAAATGGCAACAACTGAAAGTAGAATAGAGAATGAAAACAATAAAAAGTACCTTTCATTCTGGTCAGTAACATACTTGGAAAACTCTTCATCATCGTGTAACTGCTGTAATGGTACTATTTCTAAGATATCTGTATCACTATTTCTGAGTTCATTTAGCCGGTTATTTATCTCAAACATGTAAGCATGTACTATCTCAGCACCCCTCCGCCGGCCCTTGCACACAACATACCTAAAAATATACACAATGAATTCAAAAATCCTGGTTTCAATACCGAAGAAAAATGTCAGGATTCACTGGATAAAAGAAAAGAAAAGCAAGCTTTGAGTTTTTCAATAGAATCGTTAATTAATGTGGACATTATTTATGCATAATCATGTCAAATATATTATTAAAGGCTTCAAATTATCGGCATTTTGCTTCTAAGGGAGACAAGGATAAACATATTTCTAGCTTTTTTTTAGTATTTATTATGATAAACGGTTGCAAAGATTTTGTTTGATTTTGTAACTTGCTCCATTTTTCAGCAAAATGAAATAACATAACCAAACCTAGCTTCTTCATCTCATTCTCTTTTACTCTCTCTCTTTCCAGGGGCAGATTTAGGGAGGGGGGGAAGCCGGAAAGTTAAAAAAGAAAATAAAAAAATTATTGATCACCCAAAATGCCTCAGAGGTTATTTCCATGAGTCTAGAATACAAAAATTTTCCTAGGGTAGTTTTGTCTGTCGGTCAGACTCCTCCCACGTTCTCTCTTTCTAAATATATCCTTCATAAGCAATCTATAAATTATAAAGCAAATCAACTAGAGAAGAGCGCCTCTTCCAACTGCATACCTTTCTGAATTGGCTGGGCGACTGGTGATTGGTTTAAAAAGACTAACTTCATCAAATGAAATGTACAACAGATAGATAAGACCAACAGAAAAAGGCGTGAAAAGGTCAAAGGTCTTGCACACAAAGTTTCCTCCTGCAGAAAATAGGTGAAAAAATAGAATTTGTTGTTACAGTATTTGACCTTATGACCTTAAGTGTATTTGTAAAATATTGTAATACCTTTGATCCTTTTGATCTTATTAATGCATGTGAGATGATCATAATAAACAAAGACAGTCCCACTGAAAAATAATGTGGGCCCACATGCATTCTGTAATGCATGTTGATAATGTAAACATGTTGACCATTCAACAACCTGTGAGAGCAGACACTTAATTTAAATCTACCCATGCCTGCTACCTGAACTGATACTACCAGATGACTACCATCACTTAAAATGAAGGGTATCGTTGAAATCATATTAAGGCAACATACCCTCTCGAAGTATGGACAGTGCACAGAGAAACTGACAGAGTAACAGCTGCTTGGTTAACACTTCCTGAAGGTTCTCTTGGCCTTCCACAGAAAACCCCTAAAATTAAATAATAAAAGTATGGTTTGGTAGTCATTAATATGATAGATACAATACTATTATACATTTATCATTATCTTATGTTATTATCATCATTTTTTAAATCTCCAATATCAAAATCTATATCACCATCATCAACATTATCATTATCATCATCATTAACATAGTTAAATTATAATCAGTATAATCATCACCATTATTTTCCCCAATACAACCTCATTGTCACTATGACAACCACCATCACTACCTCATCTTATTTTCATCTTCATCATTGGCTTTACTAACAACACATCACCATATCCACTATCATCACAACCACCATCATCATCAAAACCCCCACCGGTAGCATTACCAATGCACTTATCACAAAGTACATACCCCATCTGCCATTACCAGATGAACACCATGCCCATCTGTATTATCCAGTACAAAGTGTTGGAATGCCCTCAGGTTGTCTGCATTCATGATGTCACCATCTCCATGGATACCACCCACTCCTATAATTCCCAAGAAAGTTAAAACAATCAACACCATCCTCATCATAGTTATTGTAATCACACTCCTGATTATAATTACTATAACCATCACTACCATAACCATCCTCATCTACATCCACATCACCATCAACGTCATCAAAGTTATAGTAATCAATGCCATCATAATCATCACCATGTTCATCATAATCACCATCATCAGCACCATTATTAGAGGGATTTCACTATCTCGTTCGAGAACCAATACGCAGTGAAAAGTTACCCGTTCTTGTTAACAAAATAGTGAGCTTTCTCTATCCTGTTTCGTGTTCCCCCGAGATCCAAACCCTTGGTGGCGGCAAAGCCTGTTGCTACGGCCATTGCACAAGCTTGTGCTGTCGTAGCACAAGGGCTAATTGAATGGTACGAATGGCTAGGGCCTAGCCTAGGATGAAATAAATTGATCATGTGAACATGTGCAAAAAAAAAGCGAGTGAATTTGCAATCAGTATTAACTATGATGATTTTCTTAAGGTAGTAATAGTATTTAATAATTTAATACAGAATAAAATAAAATTTCATTGAAATGTTGCATATACATTCAGTTTCTAGTTCTCAATTCATCGCTCAGGATCCAGCGGCTGAATCTTGGGTTGCGAGTAGGAGAAGACTAAAACTAGGCCTAAACTGGTGACATCATACAAAAATATGTACTTTTATTAGCGGATTAGTTCTCCAATGAGACAAAAAAAGCTCTCTATTGTCACCAACAACATCATCATATTCATCAACATATCCTTATTCATTGTCATAAGTTTCCTCTTCACTATCAGCATCAATATGTTTTAATTATTAAGTACCATAATGAGGTTCAAAGAACTCGGCAGATGCTGCAAAGAAATCCTCCAGTTTGAAGTCATTGCCTCCTTTCAACGTGAGCCCGAAACCTTTCACGTTGTGCTTCTTACGCCAGAGTACGTACTCCGAGAATCCTCCAGGCCCAGCGCACACATCAGCAAAAAAGAAAAGCTCATTTGCATTTGTCAAAGGTTCCTACAAAACAATCAATAAACAGTGTAAGATGTTTTAGCATTTATAGTGCAGCATTTAAACTGATGGGTTGTGAGTTTAAGTTTTGTACTGGAACGTTGCTTGTGTGAATCAACAAGGCACTCCTACTTGGTTTGTCTGTTTTTACCGAGAGGCATAAAGAGTTTAAATATTTAGTGTACAAGGTATTGATTTCTAGACTGAAAAAAAGAGTTTGTTTAATAAGAATTGGTTGAGTATTAGTGAAATTAAGTAGATTATTTCATTGGATATCAGTCACGTTGGTATTGAGAAAACAGATCACAAAGCATTTTTAGTCTTTTCATTTTAAAATGCTTTTAATATCATTTTCAGTTATAATTAGTGATTGACATTTGGCAGAAGTATTCTTCATTATTTTTTCCGTCATCAAATACAAAGCCTGACTTAAATAATTATAATAAAATTAAAGCATACAGATGCTACAATCTGTAACAGTCCAATAGTGGTCTGCAATATAGAGGGAAAAAAAATAATAGGAAGAGCCTAACTTACTCCAGATGGTTTTCTAGGGTCAGTAAACATAAAATCAAACACTTTATCCATATTAGCCATCTTCATAGCAGCTCGGTTGAGAAAGATTCCGCCGCGGATTGTCTCATATGGATTAGAGCGGGTGCGAGCTTGCCGCATTTCTTCAGGGTCTAGTGTGTCAAACACAGTCTGTAAATTTGAAAAATTATTTTAATAAAAAGTAAAAGAAGAATGAAATAGTCGAATGGACGAGCGGTTAAGGCAGGGGCACTGCAACCTACAGCCATAATATCGGCGTTGGTTCTGGTGGTAGAACAAATCTACTCGGAAAGGATCATAAACAGTAGGCCCAGTGTACACAATGGCTCATGTGTACTATAAAGAACCCAGTACATCATTCAAGATGAGCAGAGGGATACCTTGGTTTTGCTGGTACCCACTGGGTACCCCAATCACGAAGAACCTTTAGGGGCGAATAAAATCATTGATAAGCTATTAGTCCACATATAAAGCATTATAAGCATCTTGTTTGATGGATACCAGTGCTATACAAATATTCACTATTATTATTATTATTATTACAATATTTAGTTAGTCTTAACTATTTCATATTTCTTATTTTTCATAAAAATATTTTATTTTATATACTGTATGTCTGTAACTTTGTTATAGTTATATACTTTATCGACGGATACCATGCTTTACCTTAGCTTTCAGCATTTTTTTCAAAGTTTCCTCACTGCAAAAATTTGTCTCATCATCAATTATATCTTTTCTCTGTAAAATAATTTGTTGATGATAAACAGAATAAAGTTCTGTCCAAACTATCAAATTTTATTTGACAAAAACATGCGACATCCCTAAATATGGTCATGATGACATCACATCATGACCATATATAGGCACATTATGAATACACATATTGATAAATTGATGGTAAATAGCATTCTATATAATAATCTGCTTTTGCTGGTCTATATTTTATAGCTCAGCCACATTATCAAAATTTCCTTGACAATAAACTGTTATATGGCCATATATGGTCATAATGTGCCTATATATGGTCATGATGTGATGTCATCATGATCATATTTAGGCATGTCATATTTTTTTGTCAAATAAAATTTTATAGTCTTGATAGGGCTTAAGAATCTGTAGAATTAATCTGTCAGCTTTAATTTCTTTTTAACCTCTGACATTTTGAGCATTTAAAAAATTCAATAGACATTTATCAACAACATCACTGTTTTTGTGGCCCAAGAAAAGTCAGAGATGCTTTTAAGGTGTCTTTAAAGATTTTATTCAACATTAGGCACTAGGACCAGGGATATGCCAAACTAACAGTGAACTGAATCACTCTTCAAAGAGCCAATCTTGTCACAAGACAAATGTACACACAAGATGCTCTACATAGACTAGGTCTCACTATGAGGTTTAGGGACTAGAGTTTATTGTGGTTGTGAGAATTATCCTGTTACTGTGACAGGAACTGAACCCAGGACACTGGAATTGGAAGGCAAGCACCTCAACCACCAAGCTATTCAACACCACTCCAAGCTTTACAGAAACTAGCTGTACCTCGTCTTTGAAATATAAAATGAGAAGAAACCGAGAAAAACATCTGGGTTATCTTATAGAAGGGTAAAGGTTAACAAGTTTTGATATGTAGGTTTGAGAATGAGTAGGAACTGTAGTAAGGTTGCAATTTCAACTTACACTTCCTTCTTGTATCCAAGTAAACATTTCTTCTAGCTGTGGCACTGGACCTGAATAAGAAGGTAGCCAATTAGCCGTCTCGTAAACAGAAATCTGAAAAAGAAAAAATATATGAAGTTAGAAAGTAAACAAAAAAATCTACAGACCTAATACATAACACCAAGGTTAGAATTAGAATGGTATTAATTGGATGAAGATTCATTTTAATCTTTCACCCAATGGGTTTTGTGGGAAGGCAAAAAAAAAATTATATATAAAGTAAAAGGCAAAACACTTACAAACAACAATGCTGTGGGAAACAATGGCTAATCTCAGTAGAGATACAAGTTTGCTAAGGCAAGACTTTTTTTATTCCTTGTTTCGTGTACTTATTTTTTTTTAAAGATTATCGGAGGAGGGCTGAATAAACATAGAAATTAAATTTTGTTTTCTTTTTTAGCAAATAGTTTTGCCAATATCATCCAGACAGAGGAGAAAATATACAAAAATTTATTGGTGAATGTAAAATAGGTTGGTTAAATGCTTCAAATTTATATAAGTAGGAAGAAATATACATATCTTATCTTTTGGAGATTTCAAGGCAGTGGAGGGCGTAATAAAAATAAAGAAAAACTTTTATTTTTTTCTTAAATTTCCACTTTTTTCTGGCGGCGGCTGCACTACTTGGCCAAAAATAAAATTATATTTTTTTTCGAAATTATCAGTATTTGCAGTTGGTGGGTTCACTAAACAAGGTATAAAAAGTCTCACCTAAGCAAGAGCTAAAACTTAAACAGGCACAAATTGCATACATCATATATATTTTAATGTATATTAATGTGAATGAAAGTAATATACCTGTTCCTCTTGATCCCACGTCAGTTCATTAGAGGCTTCAAATCCTTTATGCTTCAATCCCAGACCACGTCTTCCTCGCTGGACTGATGCTGCCACAATGTCAACTCGACCTTCACCATGCTTTCCAAGTCCTGTGCCTTCTTTATGCCCCATTTTGGCCTAAGGAATACATATAAAGAATGATAGAAGAATAATGTTATAAAAATCACTTTCATACTTCCATTGCAACTAGAGTTGCACGTGATGTGGGAATTCATTCCTCCACCTAAGTCTTGGGATGGAAAAAGCTGTCAAGCCTTTCATTTAGAAGTCAGAGAAATATTCTATAGCACCATCTAAACTTGACGATGCTGTTTTAAGATTTACTGTTTTAACTTTATTTTAAATTTTATTCTTTTATTAGCAATAACTTGAATTTGTAATATATTTAACAAATTTAACAATAAATTGAATATTGTTAATGCTTTTCACATTGTATAAATGGTTTTCTGTTTGTATGTTTTGAGATGCAAATAAATCAAATAAAATATAAAAAATCAATCAATGGTTTAAAAAAAAAATCCGACGAAAGCCTGTGGGTGAAGCCCTTATAAGAGTCGAAGGGATTTATCTCAAAGGTGCTTAGAATAAATGGGCATATTTTTTTCACCATTTTAAGTTGTTGTGAACCTGTATTAGGAAATGTTATACCCAAAGATGGGAAACAAATTAGAAATATATTTATTCATTTTTTTAGTTCAACGAGTTGTGATGAGAGGTTTTGGCCAATCCGATGGGAAATTAGTCTCCTTTCCTTAACTAGTGTAGCGACCTTGGGTGAAGAGTTACTCTGTTTCTGGAGAGCTCAACCACTTACCATCATTTTCTGAGCAAAGTCACTATACACAGGAGCTTTTTTGCCTTTAGGTGCCGGCTCCTGCATCTCACTAGGGTCTGGTGGTTCCTGCTTCTGACTACTGGTGCTGCTGGACGATGAGAAGGACACATTCCTCGACACCTCCGGATAACTGGAATACTCATCTGATATTTCCAACTCATCTTCAGAATCTTCAGAACTCAGGTGACCAAACACCTCCTCTTGGGCATTTCCTGACAGAAAAATTATTGGATTTATTTATTTTATATTATGTACTAATTTGTGATGACATTGATTAGCTGGTTTGGGTAGGTAGGACTGACTAGCATTAGTTTAAACAATTAAGTTCTGTCTAGACTTTCAAATTTTATTTAACAAAAAACATGCCTAAAATTCTAAATATGATTTATGGTCATGATGACATCACATCATGACCATATAAAGCACATCATGACTATATATGGGCATACAACAGTTTAGTTTTGATAGTGTGGGCAGAGCTTTAGGTTGTTATACTCAGTGGCGGCAGCAAGGGGGGAGGGGGGCAGCAGGTGCTTAAGCCCCGCCATCGGACAGGGCTCGTTGGACAGTTGGACTAAAAAATATATAAAAATAGGCCCACGCCAAGCCAACACATGTCTGTCACAATCAGGAAGTGTCATTTCTGGGCATCCAGAGGTTCCTATTCTTAAAAAAATTCATTTGGGAGGGGGATCACCCTCTCAAACCCTTTCCTCAGCTCAGGCCTACCAGCCCAAGTTCCCCGTCTGACAGCTCAGCCCCCAATCCCAGAAAATATATCCTAGAGCAGCCACTATTTATACTATATAGCTAAAGTGCAACACACTGACCCACACTGTATAACAAGGGTCCTAAGTTGAAAGATGTCAATTCTGGGAGATCTACTGTGGCTGATCCAGGAATTCGAAATAAGGGGGTGGTGGGGGCGCAGCAGGAATTTCAGAGATGTCGGGTAGACCTACCTCCTGAGCCCCACCATGATTTATAGTACTTCTATAACACCAAATAACACCAGGAGACTTGGGATCCCTGGTATAGTAAGGCCGCGCACGGGGAATATATTCTCCGCGAAAAAATTGGGCCCGGAAATCCATCCAGGCATTTCGGAAAATAAGGGCCAATATCCGCGCAGATTTTGCCAAATATTAGGTTTTGACCTAATTTGCATATAAAACAAATGTAATAATATTAGAGTAAGAATCTAGCATAGGCCTAGCCTACGATTCTGCGCACTTAATTTCCTAGCGATTTTCCACGCAAATTTGAACTGATTTTTTAGGTATCCTCTGCGCAATTAAAAAAAAACTTTATATAGTTGAACCTTTAACCTAGCTTATGTTTATAGGTTATAGTCTTAAAATACATGCAGATCTAAAATGATGCAGGTTAGACCTAGGCTCCGCCAGTCCAGGCGAAACATTACCTGCAAGAAGTGCAGCCGACTCCGTCGGCGTTGATTTTTGGCCCTCGCTCTGCTGAAGAAGAGGCCATTTCTTTTTTAATGGGCCTGGGTAATAATCGATGTTTGCCCGCTCTTCCTGGCCAGGACCATACTGTCGTATGGAAGATGATTTACGTTTTCTGTTAGACATTACTATTTAATTAAAAGCTTTTCACAGCAAAACAAGTAGGATATTGTCCCTGGTCGTCCTACGCCTAAGCGAAATCCATTTTGTTGAACTTAATTGTTTATATTTACACATTACGCCCTCACACGGTAGCAAGCAGTTTTTCAACAAAAATAAAATTTTAGTACATCATTGTATGTATCATTTGTTTCAAACACATTCATGTTATTAGTGATTTTTATTGGCTTGTACTTTTTTAATCATAATTATTTTGAAATTTACAAAACAACATTCGTTCAAATTTTGTTGTTGGCGAGGCCGTCATCTTTGACGTGGGAATTTCCAAAAAAGTGGAGATGAACCGTGGGAAATTCCAATTCCTATGAAAACGTCATTGTAGCGGTTTCCGGCGTAGGTCTACATGAAATAATAAAAGTAGTGCATTTTAATCCAAACTAAAAAGGAGATGGCATCAAAGGGCAGGCGGCCTGATAGTGGAAACAGAACACGACACACGTTTGGGTCGGATGAACTTGTATTTAATCCCGAGCAGGAAACCATAGATGATTTTCTGTCGACTAATAAGCCGTCAGTGGTGAGTGTGGGGTAAGGATCTTGCTTGCTTCAATTGTTTAGAACCCAATCTGTTTTAATCTATTAAAGAGGAAACGGCATCAATTGAGCCTACTGTTGTCGAGTACACATATTGTGTGCAACAATTATGACATGTTTTAATCATCACGTACTGTATGTTTGGTTTTATAAAATTTGTATTATGCAGAGGGGGTGGGGCAGGGGCGGATTCAGAATTTTTCAAATGGGGAGGGGCCCAACAACAGTTTAAAAATAGATCAGTGACTTAGCACACACTGATTTGTATTGAAATTTTTAAAATTTAGGGGCAAGACGGGGGAAACGTTCCCCTCGTTCCACCTGGATCCGCCCCTGGTAAAAGCGTTATAAAATAGGGCATAGCCAATATTTTAAATTAGACTAATAACCACGTAGGCCCCGCCGCGCCCGGAAACAATTGATTCAGAGGTTTTAAGGGCTTATTTAACGAAGCTCTTCCCCACATTTAAAACAGTCTCTCAATCGCAACAATTACAAAAGCTAGGCCCTATACAGAAAATAGAATGAGAGTGCATACAATTTCAAAATAAATATACTTTTCGTTGCTTTTTTATATATTTTAAAGTAATGATGGAATTCGTTGGATTCGAGTGCTTGGTCCAAAATATCACGAAACGCATGGAAGTCAAACATGTGACGTTGACGAATTAGCTGCATCTTTCCAGAGACTTACCCATAATCAAAGATTATCAACACCGCCTCAAGATGAGGGCAGCGACGATGATGGAGTCAAGTTAACTCAAACGGATATTAATTCATTGGACGAGGAGTTGACGTCTGGGAAATGGATGCTTTTTCCAAAACGTGAAGATGTTGACGATCTCTGGTCTAAAATAGCAAGGGCTACGGTGACGGGAGCGCTAAGCGATGGAGCGACAATGGCCAAGGTTTCTCCAGTCGGCGATGACGATACAGGCGCTGCTTATATCGCGGTATACACCCCAGATTATCGTGACAAAGCCCAAATATTCAAGGTGGAAAAGGAAATGCGCAGGATCGGTATTAAAAAACAAATAAAGCTCAAGTACAAACCAGACATCAATACAAAATCTGGAGTCTATAGTAGAAATGGATGGAGTGTAAAACCGAGTATTTATGAAACCGGCGGTGAACCAATTAATCATCGTTCCAACCCTAGAGGTAGGGGAAGGGGTAGGGGCGGCCGGGGCCGTGGAAGAGGTAGTCAAAACTCGTCGCACTCCACATGGTCTTATCGTAGTCGTAACGAATATGACGATTTTGATTAGACCATTTACTTTTTTACAGGGACAGGCCTAAATAATAAAGGGTCGAATCATGATGCAAAGAAAATATATAGGCCTAAACCCACTTTTTTTGTGACGTAAAAATTAGTGAGTACTATATCTAAATAAACGTACAGTTTTAACTGTTTTATTTTTCTTGTATTATTTTAATTAGGCCTAATGCTATTATATTTTTTATATTTGATTTAAGTTATTGATCAGTGGTGGTTTTACTGCGTTCACATCGGATCCGAATTTTCGGAAAGTCTACCGAACCAATCAAAAAATCGGATCAGTGTGTAAAAAATCAGGACGTTCACATCCATCTCTTACGCAATTCAGCACAATGACGCTGCAAGTTAGTTATGGGTTATTCTTCTACCTTTACCTTTTTGTAAACATGTTTTCTTATGCCAGTAACAGAAACAATTAATGATGCCTGAATATGACACCGGTATGCATGGTAGACAAGAATATTTTTCCATTAGAAAAATATTGATTCCACGTGTCAGACTCCAGATTTTGAAAACCAAGATAACCATTGAAATATTGATAGAATACAGGTATAAAATTACTGTACTCGTTTTCAGTGAATCTACTATAGGATCCAGTGGCGGATCCGTTAATTTGATGTAGAGGAGGACATTCACAGATGGAGGGTCTATACTACCTCAGCCCCACCATGGTTGGGGCTGAGGTAAGAGAATGTATGATTATGCACCTCTGGATGGTCGGAAATGCCACTCTTAGACTCAAAATTTGAGTCGAATTTTCTTATTATCTTAATTTTTTTGTTCAAATTTGAAAAATTTAGCGGGGTAGGGCAGACCGGCTGGGCCGCCTTGAATCCGCCTATGCCATGGGATCATATTTAATAGTTATTCCTATAAATTGTTATGGTTGTGTTAATTTAATCTAATTTGCTAGGGTTCAATAACGTGTATATTATTGTAGAACGCCATCAAATTTATATTTAGTCTTAAGTTTTGTCTACACTATCAAATTGTATGTGACAAAAAAATGTGATGTGCCCATGACGTCATATCACATGTCATCAAATTGTATCAAAAAAAGTTGACGCTTTTTTGATGAAATTTGATAGTGTAGACAAAGCCTAAGACGGGGTATAAGGATTTAGTTACAGTGCACATTTTTAAAATTATCTTATCGCTTGGTGGACAAAGATGTTCAATGTTATTTTTATAAATTATGGTACTGGTAACGACAAAAATACGTGTCTGTGTTTTCTTTATGAGTGTACTTTGTTTCCGATGCAGCCCCCATCGCTTGTGTAAATC